TCTGTATTATCATTTAACTTATTGCGGAAAAACCTGATTAGCAAATTGCAGGATTCTTGAATTTCCCAAAAAATTGAAATGGTGGTTAGTAGGTTTCTACTTCAACTTACCTGAGGTCCAACTTACCGTTCTGGAGTTATATTAGTATAGTCCGCGGCGCGAAGCGCCGCACACACCTTCAATTTACATGCTGAACAACCGTCCCTCGGCCGCGGGAAAGCAACTTCGACTACATTTTTTCACTTTACACTTCTAAAAATTTCCTTCTCCGCCTATCCTATTTCCCCACCCCACAAAACTCTATAACCACAGTTTTTGCAGGAAAAAATGCTGGGACTAGGGGTATATGAGTGGGGCTACATAAGCTAATTTTGCCGAATCGATAATCGGGGCACGTCAGCACCTTCCTCACTATCATAAATATAACGCGCTTTAACAAATCACGTCGCGCTAAGACTCGGACTAAATCGGAACTTCTCTGGACTGCCAGTGCGGCCGCAGTTACTCTTTCTTAATAAGGCCTGGATTGCAGGCTCACCCTGTTAATTCAAAGTTATTTCTACAGAAGCCTGGCTTATGCAGTGGGGGCCAGGTCGTGTATGGCACGCGCAGGCGGGTGGTTTGGCCGCGCCCGCCTCCGGTTGCTATAGCAACCGATTGGGTGAGGGGGAACAGAGGGTGCGGTAAATGCTTAGCAAGTCTGCCTTCTTTACGCACAAGCCGCCGCTTCTGCGTTCACTTTGTTGAGCAAACAGTGCAAATTGTGTGTATGTGTGTCATAGCCCTTGTTGGATCAAGAGTCTCCACCGGAGTCCAAACTGGTTGCAGTTGAAAGACGGAGAAAAGCCGAGACCTCGACCGGCTTGAGCCAAAGGTCCGCGGGCTGAATTGGATGCCTGGCTGGGATCTGCAGACGCAAATAGATGCTGACAATCATGCGGAGAAACGCCGAAGTCGGGGCAGCTGTCGGGTGTGGACGGGTCTAGCCGGTGTTGGTACTGGCGAAAGAGCACTGAGTAACCACTGCGTAGTTGAATTATGGTACATCGAGTGACCCACGGGAGTTTTTGTTCCGAGGCTGCAATCGGAGGTGGATAGCCGCCCAAAAGGACGGGGGATGGAAACTTAGTTTTTCTTCGACAACGGCTCTCTGGTGAAAATGCTGGAAGCCTGTCATGATGTCAGAGCCGTTAACAGGGTAGATTCGAGAGTCACGAGGCGATAGCTTCCTTGTGTAGAGCTCTAATAGATGGCCGATCGCTGCGGCTGGGTTCAGGAGCTTGATAACGGTGGTGATTAGGAAGGCCGGGTTGCGAGCAGGTCCACCAAAACAGCTGGCCTAAAAATTTGTTGTGCGAGGCGACCGGCAGGACAAAGGCCTCTGCATGAAAATGATCGGTAGGCTGCATTTAATAGCAACCCATGATTAAGCGGAAAGTAGCTTTCTGTGCTGACTGAAGGCGGCGGAGACGGAAAGAGCTGACCAGATTGGTGCCGCATAAGAGTGCAAGTTGTCGGCGGCGGCGGCAACCGTCTAGGTTAGGATTAATTCCAGACAAATAAGTCACCTCTAATGCATACAGTAAACAATGAGAAGATTTTACACTGCTCCGGCAATACTAACAGCATGAAAGGGCCGACAAGTAGGTAAACAGTTCGCCCACGGTACCGCCATCTGTTGTCATCTTAGAAACTGCCCTCTGTTGGGGTCGGATCAGCCAAAAAGGACGCACCGGCGGCGCGGTACTATCTGATGTGACAGAAAGCTGAAATAAAACTGAGCATCGGTACCGAACAGCTCTGGGTGGACCTCGATATCATCATCCACAAAAACGAAAATTCGACCGTTTTGTTAAATTTTTCAGAAAATAAGTGGAAGTTGCTGAAATATCCATACTTAAGGCGCACGTTTCGGCCAGGTGAATATTTTAGGGAGTGGGGAAGGGGAAAGACAATCCTAGCGCACAGGAGCGGACCATACGTACATCTTAAGACCGCTCCACCGTCCCACTTAATCATAGCAAATCGGAGAGGCCAGCATGCATTTTGGACGTCTGTCGAAAATGTAGTCATGCGACAAGCATGGGGCTTGCGCGATTCCAGATCACGCTAATTAGACAGCTGGGACAGACCTAGCGAGCGTATGACAGGCCATGTCATGCCAACGCTGAGACCGAGGAAGCTGGATTGTGTATCACGGGCGAAAGTGGGGGAGGAGTAAGGGCATTATCTTCAACGCCGATCAACAGTGTGGCCTTCAGTGATTGACTCCAGGCGAATGTCAGTCGGGCTTGTCGCGTAGCTACGCGCTATACTCATT